CGCTTATGCCACTGAGCTATATCCCTGGGCTGAATTTATATATGTTAATGAATCTTTGCTACTGTGTAAGGTACCTGTCTATAGATTCAAAGAAAAAATATATACTTCTGAGCCAGGCATGGTGGTGCGCACCTGTAATCCCAACACTGTGAGAGGCTGAGGCAGGAAGATCCTTGTAAGTTTGAGGTCAGCCTGGCTTACAAAGCGAGCTCAAGACCAATCTGAACTGCATAGTGAGACCCTGTCTCAAAGACAAAAATAAATAAATTATATATATATAAATTTCCAGGCATTATTAGCAAACTGTTATGCATCCATACCAAACACATTTATTTTCAGAATGATCTTAATTCTGGATTTATTTCATAAAAACTGTCTGAAAGTAGTTAAAGAGTCAGTTACCTTTCATACAAAAATAGCATGTATTTGAAAGAGTATTACAAAAGGCAAGGAGGGACTAATAGGGTTTTTTTTTTTGTTTTTCTGTTTTTTGGTTTTTTTTGAGACAGGAACTCACTATGTAGCTCAGGCTGGCCTTGAATTTGTAGCAATCATTCTGCCTCAGCCTCCTGAGTACTGGGATTACCTGTATGTGTCACCATGCCTGTCAGGGGCTAGTAGTTCAGCCCCTTGTTACCTTTTTTGTTGTTGTTGCTGAGACAGGGTCTCAGTATATAGTGCAAGCTGTTCTTTATTATCATTATTATCATTATCATTATTAGTATCATTATTATTATTTTAAAGAAAACAAACCCGAAATTTCAAAATGAGATAATAGGAGGATGATTTTGAACTCACTATGTACCCAGGCTGGGCTCAAATCTGTGGTGCTCCTCCTGCCTCAGTCTGAGTGCTGGGGTTACAGGCGTGCCCCCGCTTCTGTAGCCCCTCATTACTTGAGGTGTAGGACACAGACCAGTATCAACTGCGCGCTTGTTAAAGATGGAGGGAGAAGGGAGCAGAGCGAAAGGAGGAAAACAAGAAAACGAGTTATGTGTGTGCACCAGCCCCCCACGATGAATGTGATCGCTACATACTGAAAACATGTACTAGCAAAAAATTGTATCAGTAAAACAATGGGCCGGGCATGGCAGCACATGACTGTGATTCCAGCACCTGGGAGGCTGAGGCAGTAGGATTACCAGGACACTAAAAACCCTGCATTATCTGGGGCTCAGGATGTGTCTCAGTGATAGAGCATATCACATTTGTACAGTACATGTGAGACCCTGAGTTCAGTCCACAGCACTGGCAAAAAAATCTTGAGTCTCTTTCCAGACTCAACTCATAGTGATCCTCCTACCTCAGTGCTGGGATCACAGGTGTGCACCACTATGCCCAGCTCAGAGCCCAAATTTTAAAAGATCCCCAGATAAACTGTAGGTACTTTTGGGAAAGGGAGAGGCAAGGTCTCACTGTAGTTCTGGCTGGTTCTGAACTCACTATGTAGCCTGCGCTAGGCTTGAATTTGAGGAAATCTTTCTGCCTCAGCCTTCTGAGTGCTGGGATTACAGGTATGTGCCACCATGCGAGGCTTGCAATTTAGTCTGAGAAATGCTGGTTAACTCAGGGATCTCTCACTGTGTGTGAGATCTTGTCAGCACCAGGGATGAAAGAATGTCTTTGCTTTCTCCGTATACACAACACGAAGCTCTGCCTGGTGTTGTAAAAGGGTGTAAACTGTGAGGGGCTTACCTGGGCCCGACAGTCCTGAGAGAGCCAGTGCCTTCCATCTGTCAGGTGGGGCCCTCTCCTGGATAAACAGTTTGGCCCGAAATGTTTCTAATCGAGACCCAATTTATTTTTAATTTTTTTCCAGAATGATCCATGCAATCAATCCCACTCTCCACTTCATTTTGAGTGTATGGTTCAGTCTGACAGGCTTACATTAACTTGTAGGTTCAACTAATAGATTTTTGAGCCCTAGGACCAGAGAAATCATTTGTGCCGACGCTCTCCTTTCACAGATGAGACAAATGAGGCATCATACAATTAGCTAACACGAAGGTGAGAGGTTGGATGGGACACTCGCTCTCCAGCTTTGCCCATTAAATCAGAAGCCCAGAATAGGATTTTCTTTTCTTTATTTTTTTAGATTAGGATTTTCTTTTTCTTTTTTTTTTTGGTTTTTTTTCTTTTGGTTTTTCTCTGGTACTGGGAACCAAACTCACGACCTTGCGCTTGCCAGGCAGGCGCTTTGCCGCTGAGCTAAATCCCCAGCCCCCGAGATTAGAATTTTCTTAGCCAGGCATGGGGCACACGCTTGTAATCCCAGCACTCAGGAGGCTGAGGCAGGAGGATCACTGTAAGTTCAAGGCCAGCCTGGGCTGCAAAGTATGCTCAAGGCCAGCCTGAACTGTGTAGCAAGACCCTGTCTCAAAGACAAAAAAACAAAAACAAAAACAAAAAAACAACTCAGGACCAGGGCTGGGGATTTAGCTCAGCGGCACAGTGCCTGCCTGCCAAGCGCAAGGTTGTGAGTTCAATTCCTGGTACCAGAAAACAAAACAAAACAAAAAAAACCTCAGGACCTTGCACTTGCCAGGCAGGTGCTGTGCTGCTGAGCTACATTTCCAGCCCACCACTCAGGTTTGTGCTCATTCACAGCATGTGGACATAAAAATTAAGCCTTAAACCGGGCATGGTGGTACACGCCTGTAATCCCAGCACTCAGGAGGCTGAGGCAGGAGGATCACTATGAATTCAAGGCCAGCCTGGACTACATAGTAAGGGCAAGGCTACCCAATAGTCTTTATAACTAGTATGTACTAATAAAGACCTTTTGCATGGTGTGGTGTGGTGCGGGAGGAGCTAATAAGGACACAACCCTGGTCTCTGAGGAATTAACAGTGAATAGGAGTGGAACAGGAGTGCATACTTCCTTCTAAGGGAGAAGAGAGGAGGGTAGGGAAGGATGAGGAAGCCGAAAAGGTTCTCTTTTTCTCTGAAATCCGACCAACTGCAGGAAAAGTGGGAACAAGCGAGGGTTTTGAGGAGAGGGCTGAGCATGCCATGGCTGCTGGAGGCAGCAGCTGAAGAGGTGACCACCTGCCTCACGCTGTGGCCTTGCTCACAGCTCACGAGCATCTGATAGTGGTGAGGACACTGGCGTTAGAACCCCCTGGGTCTTTGAATCCCACCAGCTCTGTAGACATTGGCCGATTTACTTAACCCATCTGCTCCTCAGTTTCCTCATCTCTGAAAAGTGTTCAGGCCAGAAGTGGCAGTGCACATCTATAATCCCAGCACTTGGGAGGCTGAGGCAGGAAGACTGCTGTGAGCTCCAAGCCAGCAGGAGCTGCACAGCGATACCCTGTTTCAAAAACTAAAAAACAAAATAAAATAAAAAGTGTCTAACATCATTAAATTCTAGTGATAAAACTCTTCATGGCTGTGTGCTTTTCTTAAATAATTTTCTTGGAGAGGAGAAAAATAGCTGAATTACTTTTTTGTTGTCAGTTTCTTTTCTTTTCTTTCTTTCTTTTTTTGTTTTTTTTTGAGATAGGGTCTCACTCTGCAGTTCAAACTGGCCATGAGCTCACTTTGTAGCCCAGGCTGGCCTCAAACTCACAACGATCCTCCTGCCTCAGCCTCCTGAGTGCTGGGATTACAGGTGTGTGCCACCACGCCAGGCTTCGGTTTCTTTTCTTTTCTTTCTTTCTTTTCCCTTCCCCTCCCTTTTTTTTTTTTTTTTGGTACTGGGAATCGAACTCAGGACCTTGTGCTTGCCAGGCAGGTGCTGTGCCACTAAGCTATATCACTGGCCCTTGTTGTCTGTTTCTACTTACAAAGTTAATTTGATTTTTAGAAATATCAGGTAGCTGAATTTTATTTTATTTTATTTTTGTCTTTTTGAGATAGGATCTCAGGCTGGCCTCGAACTCGAAATGATCCTCCTGTCTCTGCCTCTTGAATGCTGGGATTACAGGCGTGTGCCACCAAGCCCAGCAGTAGCTGAATTTTTTTTTTTTTCTTTTTGAGACAGGGTCTCACTATGCATTTCAGGCTGGCCTTGAGCTCACTTTGTAGCCCAGGCTGGCCTCGAACTCACAATGATCTTCCTGCCTCAGTTTCCAGAGTGTTGGGATTACAGACCTGTGCCACCATGCCGGACTTCGAACAGTTTTTCTTATAGTAAATGTAATATATGTCTATTGTGGAATTTTTTTTTTTTTTTTGAGACAGGGTCTCACTGTACACCCCAGGCTAGTCTTCAATTCATGGCAATCCTCCTGCCTGAGGCTTTTGAGCTCTGGGGTTACAAGTGTGCACCCCTACACCAGGCCCTATACTGTATCTTAATGGCTATATATTATGTATATTAATGAACTGAATTTTATTATGTATATTAATGAACTGAATTTTTAGAAAGCAATTCCCTTGGTAGAATAGGTTGCTTCTCCGTGGAATTTTAACACATAAATCAATCACACAAAATTTGTGAGTAATCTACATTTTAAAAAATTTCATAAGTAGTATTTTGAAAAACTGGATAAAATAATCTTACTGCCCTAAAACAACTAATCCTCTGTCCGTCTTGCTGTGCGGTGTGCTTGTGTGTTCAGCCTACTTCCAGTTGCCCGTGAGTTTAACTGTGTTACCTAGATACCTCTTAGAGAACCTGAGGTCGTCTTGGCCTGGTGCATTAATATTTAACAGGCCTGTGATGGATGGATGGAAGATTGCAGCATTAATTCACTCTCCTCAGTGTGTGTTGGTAGAACAGTGAGATGGTCCTACAGGTCAGGAAACAAGGGCTTCTGGGAAGAAAGGAATGAAAGCAATCTTGACCTCTTGATTGTAGAACTGGAGCTGCTCCTTCATTGGTTTTCTTTCACCTTCATTCCCAGACAAATGTTTCTTGATTGGCTGCTGATGGGTCAGGTTGCCTCTGTCCCTTATCTTTTACTAAAATCCTGAGCTCTCAGAAAATAGACAGGAAGGGAAAATCCATGTTTTAGACTGTGAAAAAAAGAAAAAAAAAGGAAAGGGAAAAACATTTTTGGGTAGGCAATATTATCATTTGAAAATGTCTGACTTAACCAGGCATGGTGGTGCACACCTGTAATCCCAGCACTTGGGAGGCTGAGGCAGGAGGATCCTCGAGAGTTTGAGACCAGCCTGGGCTACAAAGTGAGCTCAAGGCCAGCCTGAACTGCATAGTGAGACCCCGTCTCAAAAAAACAAAAAAAAGAGAAAATGTCTGACTTAGACATGATGTGGAGCACATATCACAAGATAATCAGCTTATCAGATTTGTACTGACTGAATATTCCTAGAATCGACTGCACTGATCTGTAGGATTCCCCGGTGACCTGGGCGGCTCATCCTCTCTCACTCTCCACCTTGGGCTTCTGTTAAGGGAAAGTGTCCTGCAGCACTGCCTGAACCACATCGGGTGGGTTTGTCCTCCAGAGATCTCTCTGCTTACTTTCTTCCCCTTCCTCCTCTTCCTCTTCTTCCTCTCCTCCTCCTTCTTCCCCTTCCTCTTCTTTTCATTTTCTTGTTTTGTAGTACTGGGATTGAGCGCAGGGAGCACTGAACTACATCCCTATCCCTTTTTGTCTTAAGACAGGATCTGGCTAAATTGCCCAGGATGGGCTTGAATTCACAATCCTGCCGCAGCCTCCTTAACAGCTGAGAATATAGGTGTGTGACAGTGTGTGGCTCATGGATCTTTTTTCAATAAAAAAGTCGATCTCGGTGTGGTTGCACATTCCTGCAATCCCAGCACTCTGGGAGGCTGAGGCAGGAGAATGCAAATTTGAGCCTAGCCTGGAGAATTTAAATGAGAGCTTGTCTCAAAAATAAATAAATAAATAAAAAGGCTAGGGATATAAATTAGTGCCAGTGCCAGGAAAAAAAATAAAAACAAAAGCAAATCAAGCCAGGCATGGTGGCTTATGCCTGTAATCCCAGCACTAGGGAGGCTGAGGCCGAAGGACTGCTGCGAGCCTGAGGCCAACCAGGGCAACATAGTGAAACCCTGTCTCAGGGGCTGGGGATTTAGCTCAGCGGCAAAAGCGCCTGCCTGGCAAGCGCAAGGTCGTGAGTTCGGTTCCTGGTACCGGAGAAAAACC